TTGTTGCAATTGCAAAAGGAATTATTTTTTCCACTTCTTTTTCTGACACTTCATTATTAAAGTATAGGAACACTATGGATTTTTGAAAGTTGATTTTGTATCCAGAGACTTTATTGTATTTGCTTATTGTTTCTAGTAGTGTTCTTGTGGAGTCTTTAGTTCTGTCCACTGTTTAACTGTATTATTTGGCTTCTTTTGCTATTGAATTATATGAGTGATGAACATTACTTAACACTATAATTAGACAAAGTTGAGCAATAAATTTGATTTCCAATTTCTGTTTTTATAAACCTTAGTGCTAAGAAATTTTGTCCACATATATAGATAGGTGACAACAATGTCATACATTTTGTTGAACACTTTCTGAGATATGTGCCAAAACAATCACTTAGTGATCCCTCATCAGAAATTACTTAATCTCTCTGCTGACAACTTGATTAGATTTTCTTTTAATTTTTTGTCACGAGTAAAGAATTTGAAACTACCAGTGTTGAAAAATTCATCAGAAGTATTCACTTTCTCATTTCTGGGAGGTACGCTAAGAAGATTTTCCCAAGGTTTATCAAATTTCTATCAATTATACCAGTTACTCTTTTTTTTAGTCATTTTGTTTAACCTGATATACTCAGAAAGGGCTAGGAAAATTAGAATGTTGTTCATTTCAATACACCTTTGTCAATCTAATTTTTTTTTTTGAAAAGGTACTTTTTTATCCTACATGCTTCAAATATATTTTCTTTAAAAGTTTGGCGTTTCAGATTTAACTCATTCAATTTATGCAAAATATTTGCCACATAATCTAATTGGCAAGGCCAGTTCTTATAGCCAAACCAGTTAGTCAAATCAGACTTATTTTCTGTTAGAGAGTCTGACATCATTGTTAAATTCAGGTAGATGTGTTAATACACATCTCCTGTGACTCTGGGCTCTAATGCTAAGTTAGGTGAGAAAGGACAAGGTCTTCGAGTTTACACACTGGATGAAATAAGGTGCATCTGCCATTAACATCTACCAGTGCTTTCTTTGCTTTGCTCTTACTGGATTCCCTCAGGGACAAAACCAATTTTGCCATTAAATGTATGTCATCCTTACTTTCACTCCGCTTTATAACATATGAATTCAAAACAGTCAAACATAAGCCACAACACCCCATAAAAATGCCAAACTTTGTCACCAATAAAACTCTACATAAAAGAAAGGAAGTCATCAACCTTGACCTCAATGCCTTGATTAAAAAAGACTTCACTGCATTGTTAAGAGGATGAAAAGCTACAGATTGGGGAGAAATATTTGGATATCCCATGTCTGTCAAAGAACCAGTATCCAGAATGTATAAAGAACTCTCAAAACTCAACGATAAGAAAACAAGCCATCCAATGAAAAAAATGAGCAATGGACACAATCAGTCCTTCAAAGAAGATATAAAGTTGGCAAAGAAGCACATGAAAAGATGTTCAACATCATCGGCTGCTAGGGAAATGCAAATAAAACCCACAAAAATATCACTACATGCCTATTAAAACTTAAAAATACTGACAATACCAAGTGCTGATGAAAATGCAGAGTAACTGAACTCTCATATGTTGCTAGTAGATATGTGAAATGGTACAGCCACTCTGGAAAACAGTTTGACAGTTTGTTATAAAGTTAAACATACACCTACCATATAACCCAGCAGTTCTACTTCTGGATATTGTCACATGTACTCGAATAATTTGTTCTTTTTATTTCTGAGTTCTATTCCTTTGGATAAACAAACTGTGCTACATCCATACAATGAAATACTACACAGCAAAAAAAAAAAAAAAGAAGAGCTATTGCATTGATACGTGCAGTGACTCGGATGATCTCAAATACATACAGAGAGAAAGATTACATATTGAATGATTTCAAGTATATGGCAGTCTCAAAAATATAAATCTGTACTGATGAAGAACAGATCTGTGGTTGCCAGGGGGCAAGGGAATGGTGTGACTATAAAGAGAGAGCACAGGGGAGGTTTTGCAGTGATGTAACTGTTCTTCGTTCTGGTTGTGGTGGCAGTGACATGAATCCACATACGTATTAAAATGTACAGAACAGTACAAAAAAAAAAAACTGATGTAAGTAACTTTCTTAAACCAACAAGTCGAAAAGATAAAGGGGATTTAATGTGAAGAGTGCAGAGATATCTTTGGGGAACCCAAAGACAGAGATCCATCCAGGCCTCAGAAACCAACTAAAATCAGGCACTCCATTCCACTGGGACTTTATCTTCATCTCTGTGGCTGTTCTCTGCCTTTCTGAAGCGCTCCTGAGAATCCCAATTTCCCCCCTCAAGTTGTTTTACTGCCTGTCCACTTCTCTTTCTTCCTTTCTAGAGTATAAGTTTCTCGAGGGCGGAACTATGCCTCTATTAATTTTCTCATCCTTAGAACTTAATAGAGCATAGCCAGCAGAGCTCACAGGTGGTTTAAAAAAGAAAAAGGCAAACAAGCCAACTGACCCTTAATATACAACCCAAACGGTGTTGAAACAGACATTTTCAAGGTGCTTTAGGAGCCAGAGAGAGAAGCAGCCACGTCTCCATCATGGCAGTCAGGAAGACTCAGAAGAGACACTCTGATGATGTTACTTGTCTTCAGATTGGGGGATCCAAAGGACAATCTCACAAAAAGAGAATCTCTTAAAGACCCTCCCAACCTTATAGGTCTCCACTGAAATGAAAAGAGAACACTCAATGTCTGTCTGCACGTTTCCTGAAGGAACGAAGAATCATAAAGCAGAGAGCTTGCTGATCTATTTCTCTAACATTTCAGCCATTCAATATTTTTTTCAGTTCTCCTCCTCATGTCAGGGTCTTTGAACATTTTCTTCTCTCAGGCTAGAGTGTTTTCCTCACTCTCTTCCATTTGATTCACCCCTCTCCCCGTCAGTTAGGGTAAACCTTATTGCCACACGCGCCCACAGCAGCCTGTACTTCCCATTTCTGAACACTCGCCTCATTGTCCTGCCCTGCGTAAGGGCTGCTTCCAGCAGTCTGTAATCTGTGACAGCACGGACCACATCGTCTGTTTCTGCCTATCCCCAGGGCCTGGTGCAGAGCCAGGCACCTGAGAGGTGCTCAAAAATACTTGTTGCTTCTACAAGATTTCAATAGTTAATACAACTTTCTCATTTGAAAGAGAAAAGCCAAGGCACAGAGGTGGGGGAGTGAGTTTTCTAACAGGCTCAAGCTAGTGGCAAGGCCATACCCCACACACAGGCTGGATAGCTCTCTGCTCTGGAGGCCTGCGAAGTTGTCCGCTTGGCTGCCTCCTTTCCTCCCAGGGTGAGGCAATGATCAATGCAGATGTGTTTTTTGTATTACTTAAGCTTTTATTTCTTCTAAAATGTACACAGAGATGAAACTCTCCCAGGACATATTTGAATCATGTAGAGAAAACACTGCTTTCTAGGAGTGAAAAGTAAATGCTTTTAAAAAAATTTTCCCCCTAAATTTTTAATTTGAAAACTTTCAAAGCTATATGAAATTCACATGAATAGGACAATAAAGACCCATGTAAACTTCATCTAGTTCATCAGTTGGTAACATTTTGTACAGTATCTCACTCTCCCTCTGTATGTATGTATGCGTAGATATATATATATATATGTATGTATGTATACATATATATATACTTCCTGTCTTCCAAATATATGTGTGTGTGTGTGGCTATGTATGTATATACTCTATGCATATACATTTACACATACACTTATCTCTTGCTGAACCATTTAAGAATCAGTTGTAGACTGACTCTTAGGGGATATGAACACTTCAGCTCATATCCCCTAAGAACAAGAGCATTCTCCTATAGCATAAGTATCACAATACCATTAGGTAATAATCCATATTCAAATTTATGTCCTTTATAGCTGTTTTTTAAAATCCAAGATCCAATCAAGAATCACGAATTGCATGGTGTTGCTCTTTAGTCTCCTTTAATCTAGAACAATTTCCACACGATCTTTAATAAAATTGACATTTTTGAAAAGTCCAGGCTGGTTGTTTTGCAGAATGTCCCTAACATGAATTTGTCTGATTATTTCCTCATGGTTAGAGTCAGGTTAAACTTTTTTTTTTGCATAAGCATATAACTTGCGTGATGCTGTGGGTGCCTTTCCATTGCATCGCCTTCATTTCAGATGTCCTGGGCCTTGAGGACATGTACCAGATCCCCAGGTCCCCAGGGCTGGGCAGTGAGGAGGCTCAGGGAGCCAGTGAGTAAAGGCCAAAGCTTTGGTCCTGGCAGAGTTCGCTGCCAGCAATGGCTGCCAACTGTGGGACAACCTGCTGGGCAATCGAGGCCAAGGTGAGAACTTCTCCTTCCTACCAAGAGCTTCTGTGGCCAGTGGCCAGCCAGTTCCTCATCCAGTGGGTCACCTGCTGCTGTGGCTACGCTCTGTTGATGTAACTGCATGGGAAACAGGAAGAGGGTTAGGGTTGGCCATGTCAATGCAGTCCTACTGGAAGGAAGGGACAGCAGGAGACAGGGGCACAAAGACTGAGGGAACCAGAATAAAGAAAAGGACTGAAAGGGTGAGAAACAGAGGGGACACACACACCAAAGAAGAGAAGAGACAAGCAGAGAGTGAGAGACACAGAAACAGAGAGAAGCAGAGAGAGACTCGGCCACACAGGCCCACAGGGAAAAGAAAGCACCAGCTGATGTGTTTCACTAACAACATCTGAGTCCGTTTCTGAGGCACTTTGGCTTTGAGATTTCGGAAAGTGAAAAGAGTTTGTGTTTATACTGGTCAGACTCAAAGGGCACACGGGTTTCTCCCAAGGGGCCATGTGGGGTCACTTGCTCAGTCTGTACTTTTCCAAACACACAACTTCTCCTCGGGGTGCCGGAAGCCAGGCCCTGGGCCAGAAGGTTCCTGCTCTAGCTCAGAATGTCTCCTCTTTTTTTCACAGGGCTAGTGGCAGATAGGGAAGCCTACTATGACACATCTGAGGTGAAGGGGAGGCACAGGAGAGGAGCAGACAGATGGGAGGACCCAGAGAAAAGGGCACTAAAAATAGCCATCCCTCTGTGAGTCAGGAGGAATCCAAACTCCTGTGAGCTGCCCAGCGGGTATGACTTAGCTAATAATAACAGGCCAGGCTTTTCTCACGAGAAAAAGGTCGGGGAGAGGAGGTTGGAGAGAGAGAGGCTGCTGGGCCCCTGGACTCAGCAGTGTAGAGAAGAGGACCTAAGCATGTCCTTCCAAGGCCCAACTCTGCCAGATGCTGTTGGAGAAGGGCTCCAGAAGGAGGAACTTAGCATGGACAGAGAGGGCTTTCTGGCAATAATGTGCACCATCTGTACTTTTCTTGGGCAGGAAGAAAAGACAGAAAAAGCACAGTCAGGAGCCATGACCTCAGTTTCAGGGCTCAACAGCTGAACTCTATCAAAGAAGCCCCTTTCTGCCCTCTGCCCTCTGCCCTCTGCCAAAAGAACAGCCCTCAGGCTTTGAATCTTACTAAGAAGGTTGAGGGGCGTCAAGGGGCGAGAGAGAACATCCCGAAAACTCTCCAGCCATTCCCGCTGCTCCTTCTCACTGGGGCAGGTGAAGATGAATCTGCGCTCAGGAGTGATGATGGTGAGGCCGGCCTTCCAGCGATTCCCTCGGACGCCCTTGGGCAGGTCTTCATACACCTCATACCCCTGCTCCTTGCTCCCGAGAAACACCTGACCCTGCTCAAAGGCGTCCTGGAAATAGAGGATATGAGGTCATCAGAGGTCACGTCTGGGGCAGAGAGGCACCTGCAGCTGTGGTGACCCCCAAACTCTGTTTTTGAAAGAGGTGTGTGTGTGTGGGGGGGTCTCTTCTGGGGACTTCTGCTAGGTAGACCCAGAATTTGAAAGGCTAAAACTGAAAGAAATTACACACATCTTTTAAAATGATACTTGCTAACTATACACAAAGAATTCAAGTGTTTTACATATAGTAACGCATATAATCCTCATGGCAATCACTCAGGAAGGCACTGTTATTAAGCCTATTTTCTGGAGGAGGAAACTGAGGCACAGAGAGCTAAGTACCCGCCCAGGGCACAACAACTAAAAGGAGCAGGGCTAAAACCAGAGCCCACACAGCTGAGTTCTAGAGCCCATACTCCTAATCACTACCCTCCTCAGCCTCCTGGTTCGAAATGAGCCCCGGAGACCAGGGGATGAGAAACAACCTACTTAACTACATTGGCAGCATTGTGGATGCACGTACAGGACTTTCTGCAGGTGAAGGGAGAGAAGAGCTTCACGCACCGGAGATGAAGACAAGCAAAGGTAGAGGTATGTCCCTTGCCAGGTTCTTCAGCCCTGTAGCTTCCCCACAGTCCCCCAACCAGCACTGTACCCATGTCCACCTAGGGGTAGAGTGGAGAGGGTCCGGCGGTGGCTCTTACCAGTGGGTTCTTGTAATAGAGCAGCCTCCGCTCCTGGGGATCCAGGGCGAACCACCTTTTCTTGAAAGGTTCTCTCTGCTACAAAAGAGGGGACCTCGTAGCAGGACCAGCCAAAGCCGGGGAGCACAGAGGTCAGAGGGCCAGCCTTGGCTGGTTCCAGTCAGATACCCCAATGCCCTTGGGCTCTGAAGTCTCTGCCCACCTCCTCAACCCCTGCCAGCTTCACCCTGCTGCCTTCAGGTGCTGCTGTGGGTTGGAGGAGGCACTTTCCTCTTTTTTCAGGCTGTGGACGAGAAGTCTCAGAAAAAGAAAGTTGAGGAAGTCAGAAGTGGCTACTACTCAGCAATGCGGAAGGCACTGGCCTTGGCCAAATTCGAACATAGGTCAGGACAGGAGTCCTGGGGAGGGGCGTGCCACTGGCTGGTGAAAGAAGAACACAAAACGTGCAGCCCTTTGACTAGTTCTCGAGCTGATGAGACTTTCTTTCACACCGATTGCCTAACATCTTTTATTGCAGTCTTAACAACCATCTTGTCAACATATTGCGCCTTAAAAAAAGAAGCACTGGATGCTTTGGGAGTTCTTTTAGGAAGCTCCATCTGCTTTTCCCTACTCCTCCCTTCCCCCCTTCCTCTCCTTAAAACCACCGCCACCTCTCCAGCGAGACTTCTGACTTTGAGCCTCATCCCACCCAGTGTCCAGGCTTAAGGCTGAGATGCCCTTGGGCAGCAGGAGCCTCACCCCTCCGTACCCTCAAGGAAGGCGCAGAAGCAGCTGAGCTCTCTTTCCTTCATAAACGAGTGGGAATGAACAGCCACTAGGGGGCTGGGGCAGGTATAGCAAAGCAGAACAGAGGTGGAGTGTGTGCTGGGGAAGGGTGTGCTCACGTGGGCACCCAAGCATGGGTGTATAGGTGTGTTTTCTCAGACCGATCTCTAGCCCCCAACTCACTTGAACAATCCTGGTTCTGGAAAAGGCAAGAGCTGATCCCGAAGGAGTCCCTTTCAGTTATGCTTTCCCAAGAGTAGAGTCAGACAGAGTTAAGAGGAAAGAAGCAGATGGCATGTTGATAAAGAGAGAGGAGGCTCAATGATAGGTAGAAGCACCTGCAGCAATGCTGGATCACGTGCCAGCTCTCTAGTCTGTACTTAGTCACACACACAATGTACACACACATTGGCTTACTCCATTTCCCTCCCAATTTTCTCCCTTTGGCTCCCCATTTTCTCACCCCCCAAGTTTTGCCCTAGTGCCCCCTGGAACAGGGGCTATGTAAACCTCCCAGGGAGCAGTATAACGTATATACCTTTGGGCCAGTCTTCTCCATGAAGCCTTGTTTGAGGTAGTTCCTGGTGATGAGAGGCACGAGCTGGGGGAAGAGAGACATACACTGACCCCATAATTCACACCCCAAGGGTTTAGGGTTCCCTGCTG